CCCGACTCATAGCGACCCCTCCTTGGGTTTCCAAGGCAGTATCACTACGGAAGTAGGATTGCCCAACCTTCCTTCCGAGGAGTGGCTGGTGGTAGGATCATGCAAATAAGGTGTATAGAACTATGATGTTGGAATTGGTTAGTTTTATTACTCTGCCAGGCTTAAAACGAGCCCTCCTAGAGGCAGAGGGGGGATCTCACTGCCATCAAGAGAGAAGAGCTGGAGGTGAAGTAGAGTGCAGAAGGGCTGGAGATGAAATAGAGCGCATCCTTGGACTTGAGATCCCTGCACTGGAACTCCTTGGCAGAAATGTTCCATCAAAGAGAGATGCCCAGCAGAGAGAGATGACTGGCAGAGAAACAGTGGCAGTGGAACCAAGAGGCATGAGACAGTACAGCAGGCTTACCTGGCCCACAGAGTGAGAAAACTGAGTGCCGCTGGGCAGGAGGCTTGCTGGTGGAGTGGGGTGCACCTAAGTGTACCTATCAGCAGAGCTAAAAGAGCTTAATAACACTTGCCCAAGCAGGATAGAGGCCAGGCCAAGAGGCCAAGGGCCAGGGAGGTGTGTCTGAGGGCACAGCAAGGGAGAAACTGTCTTGATTGAAGAATTGTATCCTGAGCACGTTCCTGACCGTGAATTGTAGCCTGTTACTTCCCTAATAAACCCCATAATCATGAGTATTGTCTGTGAGTTCTGAGTTCTGCCAATGCAATGAATTATCAAACCCAACAGAAAAGTAGTGAGTGCTGTGGAAGGTATGGTTAGTGTCAGAGTTAATAAAAAGGTTGGAGGGTGGCAGAATGTCTGGCCTCTTAGGAATAAGCCTTGGGCTGTTGATGGTGATTCTGTCTTCCTCTTGTGAAGTTAGCAGAGGTCAGAAGATGCTGCCCCCAAGTCCTTTTAGCAACAAGAATCAAACTGAGTATATCTCTGGAAAGAGAGGATGGAGAAGCTCAATATCACCAGCCAGAACAAGGCCAGGGGCCAACTATAGAACAGAACTTCAATTGCTCATATGCAAGTTTAAGTTGAAAAAAATGAAAACAAATCCACACGAGCCAAAATACAACCTTGAGTATATCCCACCTGCATCTAGAGACCATCTGAAGAATAGATCTGATGTACTGAACACCAGTGACCAAAGAACAAACAAGTTGTGGGATAACATCAAAGACATACATGAAGAAAACAAAAGGTCATTTGAAAGGCAGGAAAGGAAGAAAAGACCAAAATGGATGTCAGAAGAGACTCTGAAACTTGCTCTTGAACAGAGAGTAGCTAAAGCAAATTGAAGAAATGATGAAGTAAAAAAGCTGAACAGAAGATTTCAAAGGGCAGCTCAAAAGGACAAAGTAAAACATTATAATGAAATATGCAAAGACCTGGAGTTGGAAAATCAAAGGGGAAAACACGCTTGGCATTTCTCAAGCTGAAAGAACTGAAGAAACAATTCAAGTATTGAGTTGCAATACTGAAGGATTCTATGGGGAAAATATTGAATGATGTAGGAAACATCAAAAGAAGATGGAAGGAATACAGTCACTCTACTAAAAAGAAATGGTCAATGTTCAACTATTTCAGGAAGTATCATATGATCAAGAACTGATGTACTGAAGGAAGAAGTCCAAGCTGCACTGAGGGCACTGGTGAAAACCAAGACTCCAAGAACTGATGGAATACCCTTTGAGATGTTTCAACAAACAGATGCAGGACTGCAGGCACTTACTTGTTTATGCCGAGAAATCTGGAAGACAGCCAGTTGGCCAACTGACTGGAAGAGATCCATATTTGT